AGTCTCAGTACCTGTATCCACAGTTGTTACTATCAAATCCATTCTGACTCATGGGAACCCTATGTATGACAGAGTAGAAACTGCCCCCAGAGCGTTTTCTTGGATGTAATTTTGTTACCGATTGCCAGACCTATCTTCCGCATTACCACTGAGTAGTTTAAAATCTCTAACCTACAACTGAGTGCACATCTGGAGATTTTAGAATATAAGTATGAAATCTAATTTCAGCAGGCATCCTGTGGTTTTTGTTTGGGGTCTCTGGCAAAACTATTGAGGGAGGGGGTGATTAAGTGGTAGGACACAGTGTGTCTGCAGGTGTGTTCCTCATAGATGGCTGAAACCAACCCCTGACCATCAGTCAAGAAGGAGTCTTCAGCGAGGCCCCAAGGAGGTGCAGGGCGGTCAGCATCTGAGGGACCCCTATTCTTAGTCCTCCCAGCATCAGCCGTCTGGAACTAAAGACATAAAAAATAAAAAACAAACTATTGTCATCCACGATGGACTCATAAGACAGGGAGTAGAACTGCCCCATAAGATTTCCGAGGCTGTAAATGTTTACGGAAGCAGACTGCTTCATTGTTCTCCCCAAGAGTGGCTGTTGGGTTCAAACTGCCAAACTTTGGGGTGGCAGTCCAATGCTTAGCCCGCTGCAATACCAGGGTTCCTTGGAAATCCAGCGGATTCTGACACCCCTTCGTAAGTGCTCTGTGTGGGGAAGCTCAGTCTCTCCAACTCAGAAACGGCCTCAACCCACCTACTGCTCCAACAGCCACTTGCTAAGATTCGACACCGGTACCAGACTTCAGTCACATGAGAAACAGGTTGAGAAAAGGTACCTTCCCTAGTCAGGAGGGAGGAGACAGTGAAATGTCAGCCTGTCTCTTCCTCAGAGGCCCTGTCCCCAGGAAGAAAGACCACCTTTCAAGGCTATGGTTGGTGGTAAAACCATGAAAGGGGCTTTTTGTTAGGGTAATTAAGGAAATTTGAACTGGGGCTTGTTCAAACTCCATCTCTTCAATTTACCAGTTCCATGACCTAATGTTTAGTTGGTTAACTCAGGTTTTCCTTTGGCAAAGTGGGCACAAAATGAGACCCTCCCTTCCGGTTGCTGTGAGGAAGCACCCAGGCAGGGTGAGTGGATTCAGGCAAAACAGCAGACAGGTGAAGCCAGTCCCCTTCACCTCTCAGGAGGAAGAGGAATCCAGTCGTCCCAGGGGATAGCCTCTGCCTACAGCTGCGGCACTGTGGGTTAACGCACCAGACTGCAAAGCTGTTTGAACTTCAAGGTCAGCGGTTCAGGCTCACCAGTCACTCCTCGGAAACCCTATACAGGGTCGCTATGGGTTGGAACAGACTCGACAGCACTTCACAACAACATCTGCAGCTAGAATGGACATCCTCAAGGAACAAACCCCAGCTCACAGCAAGCTGCATTTCCATGTGTGCCTGGGGCGGAATCAATGTGGCCACCACGAGGACACTCCTTGAACAGGGCTTTTCATTCTTCACAAACATCGATGGGGGGCAGCGCACTGGGCTGGGCATGGTGCTGAGCACATACACACTTCCCCTCAGCCTCCTAGGATCCCTGTAAGGTGCGGGAGCTGTCATGATCTCATTTTACAAGTGAGGAAACTGGGGTTCAGAGAGGTTTAGCAACATGCCCACAATGACTCAGCAAACATGCTGCAGAATCCCCAAAATCTGTGTGCATAACCATAATATTCTACCCATTTCTAGTCCTGGACCCATCCCCCAAGATATTCCATGAAGATATTCCCGAGGAGAGTGAGGACTCACAAGCTCTTATTCACCCCTCAAAACTGAACTCATTTATCATTTCTGGGAAGCTTTTCCTGCTGCCTCCCACCTCAAGATCTTTGTCCCATGCTTTCCTGCCACGGAAAACTCTTCTAATCCCTTTCCATGGTCTCCTTCCAGCCTGACCAGATCTGTGGCCAAATGTCCCCTCACATGAAGGCCCTCCTAGACCACTCACTTGAACAGCACCCTTTGACTCCCCTCCCCTTACACTCTGATTTAACTTTCTTCATGACAGATCTCCCCCTTGGCATTACATTGTATCTGCTTGTTCCCCTGCTGGTCACTAGACTGTCCACTGCAGGAGAGTGGGCACCGTATCCATCTTCCCTTCCTTTCTCATCTAAACAAAACAATATCAGCCTCATATAAAACCCACCACCCACAAGTCAATTTGTCCTGGAGGACAAAGCAAAACTGTCCCATACTAGTTTCTAAGTCTATAATCTTTACAGAAGTAGACAGCCTCATCTTTCTCCTGAGGAACAGCTGGTGGGTTTGAACCCCCGACCTTTTGGTCAGCAGTAGAGTTCTTCACCCCACATCACCAGGACTCCTTATTGGTTACATAGTAGATAGGTTCTGAGTCACCGTTTGTAGAATGAATGACTCTTCCGTATCTGGCATATAACAGACCTCAGTAAACAGATTTATTCTTATTAATCATCTTGACAGAATCGTCTTAGACACTTTCCCGCGGAGAAACTGAATTTGCCCTCACAACATGATTGGTCTTTCTTCCTGTTGTGGGTGGTCGGTGGTTATGTGCCATGGAGTTGGTTCTGACTCATAATAACCCTGCCTAGGGGTTTCCGAGATTGTAAATCGTTACGGGAGCAGAGAGTCTCATCTTTCTCCTGTGGAACGGCTGGTAGTTTCGAACTGCTGACCTTGAGGTTTGCAGCCCAACTCGTAACCACTATGCCACCAGACCTCCTTGTTCTCCCTATCAGTTGCCATCAAGTTAGCTTGCAGTCATGGAGACCTTGTTGTGTGTAACCGAAAAAAACCACTCTCCAGTCTGTGCCATAGTCACCATCATTGGTAAGTTCAAGTCTATTGCTGGCAGCCAGTGTATTTTGAGTGACTTCCAACCTAGGAGCTCAGCAATGTATCGGACAATATTCTGCTGTGAACCTGAACAGGTCATTGTCTGATTTTCAGAAGCAAATCACCAGGCTTTTCTTCCTAGTCTCTTAGTCTGAAAGTTCTACTGAAACTGTTCACCATCGGTGATCCTGTTGGTATTTGAAACCCTGGTGACCTAGCTTCCAGCATCACAGTGCAATCAACTGACAGATGGGTGGTGGGTCTCCCTTCTTAGCTGCCCACTATTCATAATGCTTCCCAGCATCCCTCTCCTGCTATAGGATTAGCAGCCTCCAAGAAAGGGGCAGAAAAAAATCCTGCCCATCTACAACCCTGCCCAGTTCCGCTTGCTGAGGGCTCAGCCCTGAGCACAGAGCACCATGGTCCAACCCAGTTCCAATTCCAGCTGAGTGAGCACTTGGGAGCATTGTCACACTGGGCCTCTGCGAGGCGTTTCCAACAGCCAGAGCAGCTTTGAGGGGGCTGGGTCTGAGAGGAAAATGCCCAGCTGTGCCATCCTCCAGACACCCACAAAAGTACAAGTCAGGGAGCATCATGCTACCCAGCTGGAAGATAAGCTCGCCTCCCCAGAAGTGGAGTCTGGGCACTTCTCTGGAGATGACATGCTACCTCCTCTTCCCCAGCCCTGTCAGGACTGTATATCCATGTTTCCCAGGGCAGCTCAGACCATGAGTATCCCCTAAAGCCTGGGTAACCATCCATACCCTTCGCTGCTGTCTCTTACAGCCTAGGGCAGCATGGTAGGGTGGAAGTCTAGGGGACAGTAAGTCAGTCAACAATCACAGAGACCCAGTGACCTGGTGACTGGTCCTAGCAGGGTGAACAGGGAGAGCAGAGCATACAATAAAGTGGCTCCTGTCCAGCAGAGCATACAATATTGTGGGCTCCTGTCCAGTAAGGCCATCTCATAGCAACCCCAGGTGGGACTAACTGTCCTCATAGCATTTCCCATGACTGACATCTTTATAGGAGTAGATCACCAAGTCTTTCTACCACTGAACTATTAGTGGATTCGAACACCAACCTCTTGGTTAGCAGCTGAAGGCTTAGCCTCTCTACCACTAGGGCTCCTGGAACTTCATTTTGGGCTTGTTATAAAGAGCAGGTGAGTCCTGGTGTAGTGCTGTAGGATCAGCACTGGACTGGTAACCACAATGTCCACAGTTCAAATTTGCCAGCCACTCTCAGAAACCCTATATACAGGGTCATTATGAGTCGAGGGCACTTAACAACAACAACAATAAAGAGTAGGTGGTCGTGGTGTGGCGTTGTAACATAAGCACTGGATTGCTAACCACAAGTTTGGCACTTTAAATCCACCAGCTACTCCTTGGTAACTGGATACAGAAACGGACTACACGGCACTTAACAACAACATAAAGAGTAACTGCCCACCGAAACAACACATAGCGTTCGCCAGACATGGACAGTGTTTTCATAGCAGCACCGTGGCCCATCTCATAGCAGGATGGAAATGGTCTTCTATAGACAGATCTCTCAACCTAGCCCTACGTAGAAGCCAGAAGTCCGGCACCAAGGAAACATTCTGGATGATTCCAGTCACACAAAGTTTAGATAGTGGTGAAGCTCTCTCTTCCAAAAGCAATTCGCAGGTGTGCAGTCTCTGATGTCATTCATTAAGAGCTACGCCCAGGGTTTATACACTCCACCGCAAGGTCGGCGGTTCCAAATCATTTGCAGCTCCTCAGAAACCATATGTAGGGTTACTCTGAGTCGGAACCAACTCGACAGCACTTAACAACATTACTTCCGTTGCACGTTCACACTTTAAAAACGGGGTGGGGGGGGAGGGAGGGGAAGGATTGGGTCTTGAGTTTTGCCTAAGGTTCCTCACAGAGGAGGGGCACCTGGGAGGTGGTCAAACGGCTCAGAAGGGGCACAGGCTGCTCGCACGGGCTCTAGGATTCCCTCGCTCTTAGTGCCTAACGGCTCCACCCCCACCGCTTCTGCCTTGGCGTCTCCAGTTGCCTGGCAACCGGTCTCCCCGGCGACGCGAAACGCTGAACTCCGGGTCTAAGCGTGCCTGGCAGAAGCAGACCCCAGGCCTCATGGCCCAGAAAACCATCAGCACCGCTGAGGCGGAGCGCATGAACCTGGTGGCTCAGGATGAGATCTGGTAATGCAGCGCCCTGTGCGGGATCCGGTCCTCAGGTGGGCCGAACCCACCCCATCTGTGCAAGCCTAAGAATGTGGCCAGGGGCCTTGAGGAAAGGGGACAAAGCTAGAAACAACAGGACACGACAGAGCCTTGCCCCTTCTACTAGGTCTACCACGAGGTGTGAAATATGAGAGAGCTTCAAACAGTTCGTAGACAAATGACATTTTTTAATAATGGAATTTTCTCGTATGTGGCTTTACAATAAGCAAATATTTGTTTCTTGAAGGCCTGCTAATGCGCTCTTATTTTTAGCACTTTTTTGTCGAATTTTTTAAAAGAAACCAAATATCTTCATAATTGTCCCATTTGAATTAGAGGTAGACCTGTGTACTTTATACTTCATCTGTTTATCTCCCTGTTTTGGTGTTTGTTGGTGTTGTTTTAGTAATAGACTTTAATTTAAAAATAGATCAGTTCTCTAAAATTTGTTATGTTCACAGACATTTGTAATGGATATTTTATTTTGCATTCTATCAGATTGCTAAATGACGTTTTCCCAATTCTTTTAAGTTTTAACCAGTATAGTAAGCTGCTAATTTAGATGCAAATGAATAAAGTTTAGGAAAAAAAAAATATACTTGCTTACCCTTAAACTTCAGTTACCCTATTTACCATCTTTATGACTTTCACCATTTCCTGGCAAAACCTTTATTTTAAAAACTCACTGTCATGGAGTAAATTCTAAATCATATGGACCTTATAAGGCCGAATAGGACTGTCACTTAGGATTTCTGGGACTGTGACTCTTTGCTGAAACAAACAGACTCATCTTTCTCCCTTAGAGTGTCTGGTGGGCTTGAATCACCAACATTGTATTGGAGGCCCAAGGCTTGACCCTCACACCATAATATCCATATGTCTACAAGGAAGACCAGTTAATACCACATCATTGCTCATGTCAGACCTTGGAGGAAAGCAGAGAATACCAGAAAGATGTATACTTGTGCTTTATTGACTTTATAAAGGCATTCAACTGTGTGGATCATGACAAGCTATGGATAACATTGCAAAGACTGGGTATTCCAAAACACTTAATTGTGCTCATGAGGAACTGTACATAGACCAAGAGGCAGTCACTTGAACAGAACAAGAGGACACTGGATGGTTTTAAATCAGGAAAGTTGTGTGCCAGGGTTGTATTCTTTCACCAGACTTATTCAATCAATGAACAAATAATCCAAGAAGCTGGTTTATATGAGAAAAGCGTAGCATCAGGATGGGAGGAAGACTCATTAGTAACTTGGAATATGCAAATGATACAACCTTGTTTGTTAGAAGCAAAGAGAATTTAAAATATTTACTGATGAAGACAAAGATTACAGCCCTCAACATGGATTGCATCTCAATGTAAAGAAAACAAAAATCTTCCCAACAGACTAATAAGTAACATCATGATAAACCAAAAAAAAAAAAGATCGGAGTTGTCAAAGATTTCATTTTGCTTAAATCCACAATTAACACTCATGGAAGCAGCAGTCAAGAAATCAAATGACGTATTGCATTAGACAAATCTGCTACACAAAGCCTCTTTAAAGTGTTCAAGAGGAAAGATGTCAGTTTGAGGACTAAGGTGCACCTGACCCAAGCCATGGTATTTTCAATAACCTCATCTACATGTGAAAGCTGGACAGCGAATAAGGAAGCCTGTAGAAGAATAGGTGCTTTTGAGTTATGGTATTGGAGAAGAATATTGAAAGTGCTGTGAACTGTCAGAAGAACAAACAAATCTATATTGTTACAAGTACAGCCAGAATGCTCCTTAGAAGCCAGGTTGGCGAGACTTTGTCTTTCATACTTCAGGCATAGTATCAGAAAGGACTAGTCCCTGGAGAAGGACATCAGGCTTGGTAAAGTGGAGGGTCATGGGGGGAAAGGAAGACACACACACACACACACACACACACACACACCCCAACAAGACAGACTGATACAATGGCAGCAGCGCTGGACTCAAGTATAGCCATTGTGAGGATTGCACAGGACTGGGCATTGTTTTGTTCTGTTGTCCATGGGGTCGCTATCAGTCAGCACCAACTTGAGGGCACTTCTTATGTTGTTTTTAAAAGATTTGCAATAGATAAATCATTGGTCTTGCAAAATTCCACCATGTGATCTCCAGCATCATTTCTACCACCAAAGCCACATTTTCCAGTTACTGGCTCTGCCTCTTGGTTTCCAAATCACCAGTAGTTATCTATACATTTTGATTGTATGTTTGATTAATTGCAGACTGAAGATTTATCATTGGTGGTGGTTGTGTGCCATGGAGTAAGTTCTGACTCATAGCGACACTTTATAGGGTTTCTGAGTTGGAACTGGCTCGAAGGCACCCAACACCATTACAAAGAGAGAGGATCTTGTACCTAGGAGGCCCCTCGGGGGGCGTGAGCTCCAGGTCTTCATTCCCAGAGTAGCTTCCTCCTGTAAACGTTTAGCTAGCCATGGGTCTCCCCACCATTGTGTGGGACAGGGAAATGTCCCAGACTCCATCCCTCAAAGAGTTTTCACTCAGTCCTTGTGACTAACGAGTATTACAGTTTCCAACTGGACCTTCCAGAGTGTTGTTTTTTAACCATTTTCAACCACCATCTGGCCCTTAGAAACATCTCTTTTTTAATAGGAAATACCGCCTGAAAGCTGAAACTGAAGCACGGAAAAACTGGGCTCAGAAGTGGGGATTTTTAACAACCCCCTTCGAGGAGGTAAATACACATTTCATAAGCCGGGTGGTTATAAATCAATCACTTGAAAGAATAAACAGTTTTGAAGTGGATAATTTGTAAGAACAAGATTTCTACCAGATTCGGACTCATGATGGTGACCCGCATGTGTGTCCCGAGTGCAGCTGTGCTCCACAGGGTTTTCCAGAAGTTGACTGCCAGCGCTTTCTACCTAGGTGCCTTGGGTGGACTCCAAGCCTCCAATCTTTGAGCACTGGTGAAGACAACTGAATCCTTCCCGCCCAGACTCACAGGCTTTCACCAGCTGCCTGGCATGTTCTAGATGCTTCACCAGACCACCTCACTGACACTCCAAACACCCTGAGCTGAGATGGGTGCTGTTTCATGCCCATTTTACAGATAAGAAAATTGAGGTCCAAGAAGTACAGAGGCCCACAGTTCATAAAGGGAGACATTGAGATGAGGAGCTGGTCTATCTGATTCTTCGGTCCTATGGCCTCAGATTTTCCATCTGTAGAATGGGCTGGTAGTCCTTTCCTGCATGGTTGAGCAGTTGGGAGGTTCGGGTGCAATGAGAAGGCACATGGAAGTCTAATCTGACTGAAAGGCAGATGTGTATGTAAGGAATTGCTGGTAAAATATGCTTTACACCCCTAAACCAGGGATCACAGGTTCAGAAGTAAATGGGGACCAGATAGGAGAAGAGGCTGGGCACAATGAATAAGGAGTGAGGGGGACACTGGCAAAAAGCCCCCTGGTCCCACCCAAAGGGGCAGCTGCCATTAGCCCAGTTTAGTTGTCCTGCAGGATGTCAGCCAAGTCCTCTGATTGTTCAAGAAACCCAGACGTTTAGATGCAACCTTCTGCGTTTACAATGGTGTCGTAGTTACTTCAACCCTCACTGTCATCGAGTCAATTTGGATGCAGAGATACCCTACAGGCTCCTACATAGGGTTTCTGAGACTAAGTCTCAATGGGAACAGACAGCTTCATCTTTTTCCCTTGGGGTGGCTAGTGGGTTTGAACCATTAACCCACTTATACCAATATACCACCAAGGGCTCCTATACCAAAATACCACAAGTGGTGACCTTAACAAGCAGAAATGTGTTTCGTCACAACGTAAGAGACTGGAAGTCAGAATTCCAGGCACCAGCTCCAGGGAAGACTTTCTCTCTGTAGATGCTGGGGCAAGTTCTTGTCTCTTCTGTTTTTGTCCATTGGTTCCTTGGTGGCATGACATCTGTCTTTACCCAGCTGTACTCACTTGCTACTCCGCCTAATCTGCTCAGTTGTTATATATCAGAAGACACAACCTATAGGGATATGACCTCATTAACATAACAAGGAACCACATGACACCAGGAATCTTTCCCACAACATATATTAATAGGGGACACATTCAACCCGTAACAAATGGTGACTCCGATTTATATAATAGAGTATCAAAAACAAAATGCCTGTGTGGGCTTCAGTGGGTGATGGGTCACTGATTCACAACCTTTCAACTGTTTCCAGGACCCAACACAAGGAAGCCCCATGTTTCAGAAGTCCCGCTTCTTTGGCGGGATGCAGTATTCAGAACCACAGAAGGCAAAACATCGATGATTTCAGGCCAACCCAAACCCCATCAGTTTTGAAATTATGCCATTCTTAATGAGGGGTTTTTTGGGTGGGTTTTTTTTTTTTTAATTCTTAGGGAACGATGCAATTTGAAGTTTTATGCATAATATGAGTCTTTATTAATGTAATATGCATAAAGGAGTCTATGGGAACATTCTTTATATGTAATTAAGTAGAGTTTTCAAAGAGTTCAAAATTGCTTTAAAATCTAAGAAGAAGGAGGAGGTTCTGCATGTTATTTTAAAAGTTGGTCGTGGAACCCTGCTGGCGTTGTTTCATTGGAGCCCATAACCTGTGAAGTTTTCTCAGGTAGCCACTTGGAGGATGTAGCCAGCAGCAGCAATGAGCCATCAGTGTTGTGTTAAAATCCCCACCCTACTGCTCTCTAGGAGTCCTGGTGTGGTGCTGTGGGCTAATGCGCTGGACTGAAAAGTCGGTCTGAACCGCAAGGTCAGTGGTTCAAGCTCACCAGGTGCTTCTCAGAGACCCTATACAGGGTTGTTATGGGTCGGAACCGATTCGAAGGCACTTAACAACAACAACAACTCCTTTCTAGGAGTCCCTGGGTGGAGCAAACAATGAATGCACTCAGGTGCTACGAAAGGTTGGAGACCCAAATCCACCTAGAGGTGCCTTGAAAGAAAGACCTGGTGATTACTTCTGAAAATCAGCCATTGAAAACCCTATAAAGTACATTTCTACTTTGACACAATGGCCATGGGATGGATGGATGCATGGATGGATGGATGCATGGATGGATGGATG